AATTTCTTCATTTTCGCATTTGTCATTTAATTTTGTAATATTTTCTTCTTTGCAGTCATCACATAATCCTATTGCAATTATTTTATAGTCTAGTTTATATAATTTTTTACTTAATGCTTCAATGACAACGATTCCTTCTATCTCTTCATCACCATTTATAGGACTTTTGAATAAGACAATCGATTCATTAATTAAAAGATAAATGCTATCATCCTCGATCAATTTTCCCTTACAAGTAACGCATTTTTCTATTATTTTTAGTGTTTTGAGAATTTCATTCGATAAATTATTAAACCCAACAAATTTATTATCATTATTAATTCTTTCATTAAATTTATCTAATTCATCGATAAATTCTTTTAATTCATTTGATTTTTTGGTCGATGTTTTGCTTAAAAATTTTGCTAAATTCAATTTTATCATTTTTGAAATCAGTAATAATAATATTAATAAGAAAATGGAGATCATGCCATAAATAAGAAATAAGGAAATAATTCATGAGTGACACACTGCTAAATCAACTTTATATTAAAATCTTTTTTCTATATTTCCACCTCTTGTCTTTTCCGAGGTCTGGAAATAGGAGATGCGTCAATACAAACAAGTCAATTAGTTCGGATTCTATATTATTTTGTTGTTGATAGTCATCACTTTGCTGCATACTATCATAAATAGAAAATGACAGTGACAAAGATTCAGCTGCGTCATCAACTCCAACTTCAATATTTTCCAAATTGTTTAAAATTTATGTACATCATCAAAATTTGATAGCAAGACAATGCACATAGTTTTCGAAACACATACAAATGTGATGCTGGTAAATTTAGTTTGTATTGAGCTTTGATATTAACAATCCAAATACTCTAGTATTTTGTATTTAATCTTTGAGTGAGAAAATGCAATTATATATACTACAGATCATGTCGCGAAGGCATGCATACAATTTCATTCTATCAGGCATTTCTTTTTGCTTGAATATGACGATTTTAAGATTTTTCCTTTGATATTCGATTTAACATTGGTATCAATGCTTTCAAACTTTTTCATCGATACTTTTCAAACAATTATGACGTTATTTGTTTGCTTGTAATAATCTGTAAAGACGAAAAATTTAATAGATTAATAAATAAACACAACATTGATATATCATTGTTATGATGAATTGCTACTACTTACTTTTGACAAAATACTTTATATTTATTGGCATCATAGAATAAATTCATTAATAGTGTGCGTGTGATTTAGAAGTTGTTGTTTTATCTTTCTTTTCGCATAATGAGGACCACAACTCCGCACCTCAACGTATAATTCTCTCACTGTATCCTTTAGTGTGTATCTAATATCTATTTCTTTTCTTCGCAAAACCGCATTAAACGGTCGGTGATAAATCTTTAATATATTTCAGGGTATAAAGAAATTATAAATTTGCAAATTAACAACGAGAAATTATTGAAATGGATAAATTAATGTCGTAGAAAGGGTTGGTTTAGTTTTATTGCCAGATTCATTATCATTATTAATTTTTATAAAATAATTAATTTACATTATTTATAATTAACATACGTTAGATTAAAACAAATTCATGAAAATAATTACATTCATCGTGATTTACACAGCGGCAATATTTTTTTTTACGATAGAAATTATAATAGAATAGGAGATTTGGGATTATGCCAACAATTAAATGAAAGTGATAATCCTAGCGAGATCTTTGGAGTCGTTCCATATGTAGCACCCGAAATATTATCAAATAAGCCATATACAAAAGAATCAGACATTTACAGTTTTGGTATGATAATGTGGGAACACACTTCAGGGAAAAAACCTTTTCATAATAGATCACATGATCATCGCCTTGTATTAGATATTTTAAGGGAAGAGAGGCCTAAAGTTACTGAGGACACGCCTGAATTTTTTGCTGAATTGATGAAGAGATGTTGGGATCCTAACCCTGAAAATAGGCCTGATGCTAACGAAATAGTAAAGTTGTTTCTAGAATACAGTCTCAATCCTTCCGAAGAGCAAAAAGAAATTATTAGATTAGCAGAAACTAAACGACAAGAGATCATCATCAAAGGCTTGCCAGACGAAAAAAATCATCCAGAAGCTTTTTATACAAGTCGATCACTAAGTCAACTGACTCAACAAGCTAACTCATCTTTAGCTGGATCGAATTACCGCGACACATCAGCAATGATTTGGCAAATGAGAAACGATTAGATTATTTTATTTATTTATTTCTTATTTTTAAATAAAGTTTTTGAAAACACGTAATTTATAATATATAGTATACTTGGATAATTTTTTAGTCTTGAAAAATTTATTGCAATTAGGAATTGTGCTTCATTGCTAAATTCATTAACATTTGAATCTTTGATATTTTCATTGTTGATTCTAATATTTTATCTTCTTTGGAATCCGAGTTAATAATCAAATCTGCTTCGATAATGTTGTTACCCAATGTGTGTTCATCAACATATGCGTTATTCTTTTAAAGAATAAAAATAATAATTTCAATTAATAATCACGACAATACAAAAATTTGACTTTAAAAAAAAAATATATCTGTTAAAACCGATCCAAATCGTTGTTGACTGAATCAATAAATCTTGATACAACTTCATGCATAGCCTTTCACTAAATTTTCATCGCAAATCAAATCAACCTTCAAGCCACCCCTATAAACTTGTCTGATTTCGTGAAATGGGGTTTTGGTTCCCTTTATACAGTGTATTAAAATTTAGTTCAGTAATTGCCGAAAAACGGAGCATAGTGTGTAACACAATAAACTCGGTGCAAAAATTCACGTATTAGTATATAATATTTTAGCCTAATCCTAAAAAAAAGTCAATAGAAAATTAAAGAGTTGATATCTTCAACTTTGTCATGACTGCAGCCTACAACCATATATCAAACGATAACAATGAAAATATCCGTAGCAAGCAGCAACAGTAGTAGTCATGGCAAGGCGTGAACATCAATATTAACACAGCATCAACCAACGATTATTGTAATAGTAGTAGTAATAATGATAAAAAGACAGGCAAATATTATTATAAACATAGCAGAGTTGGTCACATACCTAATGATGCTATGCCTGATAATATTAAAATCACAAGAGTTGGTATACTATGAAAAAATGAATCTAAAGGAAAGATCCTACTATATACATATGTGGACACACCACTCATTTTTAATGCCTCAATATTAGGGATGGATATAGGAGTTCCAGGTATACCACTTGGTGAACATTCAAAGCACCAGCAAATTCATGTATAAGCACGGTCATTATAGCCAGCACTGTTCAAATGATAAGGTGTGGCTATCATATAAAAATGGCTTCAGACTATATTTTTATGCAGCAGTAATTATCATAAGATATATATTGCTATTATTAATATATAGTGTAGGAAATAAGAAGTTAATCTATGTTAAATTATTTTATTCTTGTTTATCTAATTGTGACTCTTCTTGGAATCACCGTGGAAGATATAAATGCTATCTTATTGGAGCTAGTGAATATTTTTTTGGCCACTCATATAAAAAATATAAAAGTAATAATATACATACATCCAAATGCACACTCACATATATGATACCTTCTCGAAAAGCAATCGATGAAAGATGGTAACAATAATCTATCTCAACAGCTCGCCTCTTGTTCATAATATTACGTGGCTCATTTTTTTAGATAAAATATTTTAGATAGCTTTAGAAAGATAAACAGTGCTGAAAATTATCATCACCATCACCATATACCAATGCTGGTAGCAATACTGATATTACAAGGACGTACAAATTATCGGAAAGCCTGACATTCTTATGCACGTTGGGAATACTAATACAGGCACATATAGCATTAAAATAAAAAAAGTATATATATATGAGTGTTTTAAATTGTTGTTAGTAGTATTATGAAGATAATAATAATAATATCCTATTAAACAATAATAATTGAAATTAATTATTTAATTAATTGGGATTCAACATGAAGTGATTCTCATTGATCCCGATCATAAATTTGATCATATTTGCGAAACATAAACATTGTGGATCCAGAGTATTGATAAGGAATGATCGTAGATTTAATAAGACAAAAGGTAGTGACCACCACTCAAGTTGGTGACATTATCATTGCGTAGTTATTGTTAATGTTAAATTTTGAAAAATATATCGCTAGAATTACTGTAACTTGGAAAGAAACATGCACCTCTAAAAATAATTATTGTAATAGTGTTATGTCCATATTCAAGCTTTCATTATCACACTTTGTTTTATCATTAAGCACTCCCAAACTTCAATTTATTAATTTGATTTCAATTACTTGATTCAATAGTTTATGTTGTTATAACTATGTTATGATAAAAAATCTTTATTATTATCTATATATATGTGAAAAATATGAAAAGTGCTCAAATCAAATTGCGTGATTGAGTTCACTCTTATGAAAATTGTATTCTTGGAAGCTGTAAATGCCTTTTCCTTTTCACCAAGTCAATTATTATTCATTAGATAATATTAATAGTTGTAAATAAATAAATATGCATACAATTTTTTCTAAAAATAAAATCTAAAAAAATAAATAATATCAGAGGATGTTGATTATAATTAAACTGTTCTATGTATCATCAAACCATTCTAAGTATCTTGCAAACAATTTTTATTATTGAGATGTTGATGAGGTGCAGTCGAACTTATAGCATTTCCACATAGATAACAAAAATGTGTAGCACAACGTAAACAAATCATATGCTCACAACCCATTGATCTCTGAATTATGGTTTTGCAACCTGGGCAATGTTGTGCATTGATTTTAACCCATTTTAATGTTTTCAACTCCCTAACCAGTTCCTCTAGATTCTTCTTTCCATAACGTATTTCCAAATTAATTTTCAATTGTCCTTTTGCTTGTATGTAATCATTTGTTATTTTTTCAACAGCATACATGGTACATGGTACACTTGGACCATGCCTTTTTAAAATGAATAAGAGTAAATAAAATTTACATTGATTAATTGTCAGTAAAGTAGTATAATTAATTTTTTTGAAAAAAAAAACCAAAGACTTGCCAAGTTTTTTCACACCAATAACAAAATGCAAAAGAACATTTTGGACAAACGCATAATTTATCATCATTAGAACCTTTTCTGACAGGAGCTTGACATGATTTTCGAGGACAATAGGTGATGGATGGATCTGTCTCAAGTTTTTGTTTTTCTACTAAATTAGAATATCTATCAGAAGTTTCTTTATCAACTATCCCAGAAATTTCTTCTATTGTTATCGTATGTTTTAATTGACAACCTGGTTCAGGACACTTGACTTGCGTGATGAGTCCTTCTTTGATCAACATTTCAAAATATTTACAAATACAATTTTGACAAAACACATGTTGACAAGATTTAAGTTGAATACATTGTTCACCACGTTTTTCTTCAAGACAAATTGCACAATTGAAATGATTATTTGTAAAATTTTGATATAAGCCTTGTTGATTATATGTACTCATAATTGATTTAAGCGTTGTAAAACCGTTGAATTCTGGAATGATATACATGTGTGTATATAAAATATATTTATAAATCAAATTTTTTTAAAAAAATCATTTTTCAAAATTACAATTTTAACTAACCATCAAAAAGAACCAATGATGATGATATATTCAAAAAATCTAATGTATTATTTTGAATAAATTCAGCAAAGCGAAATAAAACCTTATAAATAAATAGTTAAAAAGTAAAAATATATAATTAAATAAATAGTTTTTTATATTCAATAATTATCTTATCACACTTGTTGTTATTGAAGCAAACAGCACATACCACATCCTTTTCTTCTTGCCAAATTTTTTCTAATTGATTTTCCAATTGCTTTATTGAATCTTTTGTCAGCCAACAGCATTCAAGATCAAATTTTAATATTTCATCAAATGGATAATTTTTTGTCATTGAAAAAGTAATGTTTATAGGAGGTAAGTATTTGATTTTCAGGGGGTGAGGATCATCATCATTGTCGTTAGTGAAATATACAGTGATTACGTCTGATATTGATACTTCAACGGTCAACGATCCTTTATAGTGTGGAAAAGGATTATCAATTTTTTCATATATGAAATCTTGCGGGTATATTGCCTAATTTTTAAAAATTGAAAATAAATAAAATAAACGCTAGAATGATTTGTGAGAATTATTATTATTAAAAGTTTTAGAACATTAATCTTGCTTAATTGTACCGACTTCAAGAGCAAGTATTTCATTTTCTTGTTGAATCGAATTGTTTGTTAAATTTGACATTTTACATTTTCATTATTTTCATTTCTAAAAAAAATATCTTTTATATATTGTCGATCACAATGACATATATAGTAATAGTAATATAAGTTTTACTAGTTTGATTTATTTGGCGTATTAATATTATTTGTACATCATTGAATTAGCCAATCAGGTTAGAATATTGCTATGCAAAGTGGATACGGTTTCTAGGCTAAAAATGTTCTACATAAAGAGTTACACGTAGTAGTAAAAGTGTTATTGACCCAAAATTACTTTTTTCAGAGTTTCATTGAAAGACACCCATATAGGCTCTGTCTTGGGGACTTTGATATTGTAATGAAACTCGAAACTCAAAAATTCAATTGGGAGCATAATCATTTAGATAAAAATCATGTGGCAAAAGAGTCAGTCAGTTCAAAATTTTAATTGTTAAGGCAATGTTGATAATGATAAGATATTTATGAAGATTGTAAACTTGAGCAACTTTGAGCCTTAATTCCTCCCTCCATAATAACATTAACTTCAAAATTACTTTTTTTTGGCCATGTTTGAAGGAATTAAAAGTCAATAAAGAGTTCAGCAACTAACTGTAGACATGCACACATAAAAAAATCACAAAGCTAAGACTAATACTAACACCAATACAAATAAGGTGTCTGTTATTTAAATCACTAATAATCAGTCAAATTGCTCAAAGTATGTTGTTTTTAAAATCAAAGAAAGTTATGCACTAGGAATTTGTTTTTTTAAAAATATTTTTAATTTTTTTTGGATAAAACACAAAAACCAACTGTTAACATCTTATACTGTTTATTTACCACACTTACACAACAATATTCTAAAAGCTGGGTCACTGGGTCCAAAAAATAAATGAGTTAAAAAAGGGGAATTTTGTTAAAAACCTTGTAACTTTATACAAAAATTCTTTTTAATAATACTATTGGAAGAATAGATAAAATAAAACCTCTTGTTTCAGATTAAATAAGATATTTCACAGTAAGTCCTGGATCTCAAATATGTTAATTTAAAAAGAGTGATTTTGTTAACCAACTTCTTATTAATAGCAACCATAGGAATATAGAACAAACTTCTAGTTTCAGACTATCAATTAATATGCTCTAAATGCCTTTATCTAAATTTACAAATATATAAATGTAAGAATTATTTAAAATAATTATAAATAATTCTGTATCTTTTATAATAATCATTTCATAGCAATAAAATTATAATTCATGCAGAATTTCCATATGCAAATTTTCTATAGGGCAGAACCACCCATATTATCCAGTTCACTCTCTCTATAACGAACCCTCTGTCCCTATATGTAATTTCTCTGCTTTTGGTCGTTATAGAGAGAGTTTATTAAGATGGTCATTATTGAGAGAGAAATTAATTATAAAAAATTGAAATGGGGACAAAAGGGAAGTTCGTTATAGAGAAATTTTATTTAGTGATCATTATAGAGAGGGTTGTTATAGAGAGAGTAGACTGTACAACATTATTAACATTGTTGGCATATTATTATAAACAAAATATTGAGGTTTACTGTGAAACACAGATTTTTATCTCAATTTTTATTATTATTATTTGTAGTGTTCGTAGATGATAAAAATGATAAAAACAGTATATATGAATGTTGAATATAAAAATACTAATAAAATAATAAATAAATAATACTAAAAGATGATAAGAGGCACGATGGTAGGTCACTTCAATCTGGTTAAATTATAAGGAGGGTTTGCTTTAATTTAAAATAGATAGCATATAATCATTAAAAACATTTTTTTTTGATAATAATAAGAGGTGTTTGTTCACCATATAACACTTCTTTATAATAATAAAAAAACTAATGTGAAAATTTCAATAATCAGATGAATGAAATTTATTCATAAAATCATCTGGTATAGTTAATTCAATTTGTTTGGAATCTAGCATAGTTAATTCAATTTGTTTAGATTCTATAGTATTAATTTATAATTTAATTTAAAATATCATTTAACAATAAATAATTCAGATTAAATATATAACAATAAATGAGATAATTACCATTATTATTACTAATAATTGTAACTTTATTGGAGTTTACAGGCTGAGGAAGATTTGTAAAATTCAATAATCTACTTGTATAAACAGCATTTGGATGAACAGTTACTGTAATTGTTGAAGGATTAAAAGGTTTTTTATCTGCTTCCACAAATATTTTTTTTACCTCTTCCAATTCATCAAGCTGTTCTTCAGAATAACTAGAAATATTAGATTTAATTGCATCTTTCCAAAAAGTAATAATTTTTAAAATTTCATTGGCTGTTGGTCTTTTTTCAGGATCAGCATCCATGCATTTGTATGCTAACCTAATATAACATTCTGGAGTATTATCTGAAAAACTAGGCCTTAAGCCACCACAGATCTTGATAGCAAGATCTAGATCATGTGGTACATCTTTGAATGGCTGTTGATGTGTTGATGTTTCTGACATTAAAATCCCAAAGCTATAAATGTCAGATTTTTGTGTATAAGGTTTCTTATTTAATACCTCTGGTGCAATATATGGCAGCACTCCAACTATATCACTTTTACTTGATGTTTCTTGATCAGCTGGACCTGATAACCCTAAATCTGTAATCATTGTCTCAGATAAATAATCAAAATATAAAATATTACCACTGTGAAAATCACTATGTATAAATTTTTCTTGATGAAGTGTGTTTAAACCTGAGATAATATTATAAAGTTTTTTAATTTTATCATTCCATCCTTTCTGTATTGCATAATTTGATTTTAAATATTTTTTAAAATCTCCTTCAGGTGCATATCTCATTACAAAAACATATTCTTTTGTATTTGGATCTTGTGAAATGCCATAAATATTAACAACACCCTTGCGATAAGGTCCTATAAATTTAATATGGTTTTGAAGCTTTATGAAAATCAATAAAAAATTAATATATTATTTAAAACCATTAATTAATTGTCAATTAATCATATCAAATTATTTACCTCCTTTAAAACTCATCAGAAATATTTTGAGAATTTTTAACCTTTTTTAATGCTACAGCACCATCACTACAAAAATATCTTTTATTATCATAAACATATCTAGGACCACTTGACCAATAACACTTGTATACAATTGCAAAACCACCTTCACCTATTCCTTTTTCAACTGTAAGTTGGTCATAAGGAATCCATTCAAGGTAATGATAACTATCAAATCCTTTTGCTTCAAGCTGTGTCTTTCGGATTATTTCATCTAATTTGTCATTACCACTGCTAGTCCAACTTTGAGTTAACAATTTGGGATCACATGATTGACACCACTGGTAATTAGTATTATATCTTGCACAAACAGAACAGGTTCCATATTCTTCTTTTCTTTCTTTAAACCCCTTAGTGTTATCTTATTATTTCATTATAAAAAATTCAAAATAAAATAGAATTATATAGACATTCATTTAAAAGTTATAAAAAAGATAAATTTATAAATCATTTTACCTTCAATTGTTACTATAAATGCAAAAAATAAATTTATTTAATTAGACAATGTGTTGAAAAAGTTATAATATAATATAATATAATATAATATTTACCAGCTGTTATTATGAAGAAATAAAGAATATTTAATTAGATGATGTTATAAAAATTTATTTTGTGTTGTAAAAGTTACTTACATGCTGGTTATTATATTATTATAAAGAAAAATAAATTTATTAATTAATTGATGTTTTAATAAAAAATTGTTTTACGTTAGTTATGAAAGTTAGTTTTATAATATACTACTTACCAGCTGGTTATTATAAATAAATAAAATTAAACTTATTAATTAGATATAAAAATTATAAAAGTTGATTTATAATACAATATAATACTTACCAGCTGGTTATTATAAAAAAATAAAAAATAAGTTTATTTAGTTGTTATAAAAATTAATTTATTTTTAAAATAGTTATTTTCTGTGTAAGAAAAAATACCTTCATTCATTTTTTTTTACTAGGAGCAAGAGTTTCCTCAAAGACCAGTGTGTTTATTCCTATTTAAGAAATTGTATTGTTGTAAGGAAACCCTTTTTCCTTACGTCAAAATACTAATTGTTTTAATTATTATTTAAAAAATACAAGTTATCTTCACTAATTACGGAAAGCTTATCTTTTTATACAAAAATGCATAATATAATATTACAATTAAATAATAATAAATAAAAATAATATCTTAGAACTTCCCGGCATAAGAAAATAATAATATAAGTAATATGGTGCAAGTCACCTAGTCCCGCAACTTGCTGCGCCTTGTGGCCAATTTTGGGAAAAATCTTCAAAACTCAGAATTGTAAGTTGTGCTCAAAAAAATGCAATAAAATTTTATGTCACGTGACCTTTAATGGTGATACAAATTAAAAAAAATATTTATATATATATTAATATATATATAATGTTATAACATTGCTAAAAAAAATTTTCCTTCATGTGAAGAAGCCAATGCTCCTGC